AAACAATTCCCATTCTGTCTTAAAATCCCCATCTTCAACTTCTATTAATTCTAAAGCTTCTTTATAATTCTTATTTATGAAATAAGAAGCAATTCTGTGCCTATTAAGTGATTTAGCAAGAATATCTTTCATCTGTTCAAAAATTTACTAAAATATTTTTAAATCAAAGATTTTATTAAACAAAGAAATAATTACCACTTTCCTTTTGTTCTCTGTCTTTATTAGAATCAGGCTTATTAACTCTCGGTCTGTAATTGGTAGAGTCTCTTCTGAAAGTAATATCAAGAGTTTTAAGAAATCTATTCATACCTTCTTTAATATCAAGTGGTTCACTAGCTCTAGATAAAACACCAGGTTGTCCATCAAAAACTATAATACGATCAGCTAAATATGTTGCTACTATTAAGTCATGTTCAACTATAAAAGCTGTTTTATTATTAGCGTAAATATACTTTTTAATCATTTTAGAAACAGCAATTCTCTGATCAGAATCTAAGAAAGCAGCAGGTTCATCAAGCAAATAAATATCAGCATCCTTACCTAAACATAATACAATAGCAACTCTTTGTAATTCTCCTCCAGAAAGAGAAGCCAACTCATTATCATATAAATACTCAATATTTAATGGTTTAATAACTTCATTTCTAAAAGCAGAATTCAATAACTTTCCCTTCAATTTTACATCCAAAATTTCTTTAACGGTTCCTTTAAATTTTGGAACAATTTTTTGTGATTTTAAACTGACACTCATTCCTTCAAATAAAAGTTCACCACTATCAGTTTTTATAAGTCCTCCCAATAAATTAACAAATGTTGATTTTCCCATACCATTTTCTCCTAATAAAACTGTTATTTCACTGTTTGAAAAATGACCACCACTTAAGGTTAATTTAAACTCAGTTTTACCTTTTTTTGATTTAAATGTCTTAGTATTTTCTAAATAATAATTCATTTTTCTATCAACTTTAATAGAATCTTCTAATTGTTGTATAGAAAATTTAAGTGCTGATTCTCTAAATCTCATGTTCTCAGTTGGTATGAATCCATCTAAGAATATATTTATTGCATTTTTAATTGTATAAGGACTACTTATTACGCCATAAACACCACTCTCCCCATACAAAACACAACCATAATCACTCATTAAATCTAAGATAGCTAGATCATGTTCTACCACAATAACATACTTATCATTATTATCACATAACTTTCTTATTTCTTTAGCCGCTGTTAATCTTTGTTTAACGTCTAAAAATGATGTTGGTTCATCAAAAACATACACATTTGCATTTTTCATACAATTAACAGCAATAGAAAATCTTTGAAGTTCACCTCCACTCAAATCATTTAAATCTCTTTCCAAAATATTTACCAAATCAAACCTCTTAATATAATAATCTTTCATTTCTCTTTCATCCATAATATCTATTATTTCTTTTACTGTTAAACTTTCTTTATTAAACATTTTTGACAAAATTCTTGGAATCTTATCAATATATTGTATTTTATTAGCTGTTATTAAACCACCCTCTAAAAACTTAGTAAAATAACCATGTAATTCACTCCCCTTGTAATATTTAGCAACATCTTGCCATTCAATCAATTTATCAAACTTTCCAAAATTAGGTCTAATTTTACCACTTAATATTTTAAGTGCTGTACTTTTACCTATTCCATTTGTTCCTACTAATCCCAATACCCTACCAGGCTTAGGAACTGGTAGTCTATGTAATTTAAAAGAATTTTCTCCATACCTATGACTACAGTCTTTATCTATGTTTGTAGGCAGGTTAAATATACTTATTGCATTAAACGGACATTTCTTAGCACATAAACTACAACCAATACATAGTTGTTCACTGATAATACTTATTCTTTTAACCTCTATACAAACTTTACCTATCTTGTTTACTGGACATGCTTTCATACACTCTTTTGCACATTTATTAGGTTTACACTTATCTTCATTAACAACTGCTATTCTAGTTAACTTCTCTATGCTTGTTTCTTTTCCCATTAAATTATACAAACAAATTTTTATTAAAATTAATTTATTAGTACTGCGCATAAAGTGGAATATGCCCATCACCACTAATTCCTATCTTTTGTATTTTTAATTTACTTTTAGCTCTCTCATTATCAACCATCTTTTTATGAATTTCCCTCATCTTCTGTTGAACTGAACATTTATCATTTCCTATGTATTTTCTTATCTTTTCATAATCTTCTATTTTAGCCTCGTGTATCGTTAATTCTTGCATCAAATCATCCCTCTTCCTTTCATTTTCTTTTATTTGTTTATTTATTAAAGTTGACTGATCTTTAATTTTTGATAGATTATCTTTTTCTTGTGTAATTTTCTTTGTTAAATTATAAATTTCATTTTCTGTTAATCTTTCTTTACCTTGTACTTCTTTTAACGTTCCTTTTATTTCTTGTATGTTTGTTTTTAAAGTATCTAACTCTCCTTCGTTTTGTGATACCTTTTTCTTTAATACAGCTATTGTATCTGAAACTTTATCATAATTATTATTTAATATTTCATGTAAATCTTTTAACTTCTTGTGCATATGTGAGGTGTATTTGACTTTTGCATTTACATTA